ATTTTGAGAGGTCATTGTTCATTCAGTTAATTAGTTTTTTAATTATGCTTAAGGATTTTACGACGGCTTCACCTCCTGGGAAAGGAAGTGTCCCTAGACTATGAGCGTACTATGAACATGATTAACTTTGACAGAATTGTCACTTCCAAGCGTCAGATATTTTCTTATGTCACTCTGCCTGAGAAAGAGGAAGAGAAGGTACCAGAGAAAGGTAGGTAACACATGACAAAATGCACACGGAGAGAAAGAGAAAAGAGAGATTATAAAATGCTTATAAAATGATAACTTTTGTGGTTCAGATTGTAGTTAATATTTTACAGGAGATACTATAAAAATTCTATTAAATACTGTTGATGGGGAAATTGTTTTCAAAACCTTTTTTAAAAATATACTAAAATAGCAATTTCCTAAATCCTTAATTTGTTGAAATTAACATCGGCCAACAGAATTGGTTCTCAACTTACAACTACAGTTGGGACCAGGATTTCCATTGCTTAAGCAAGCAAGCAATGAGCCATGCCTGATGTTACAACCTTTTTTGCCACAGTTGTAAAGTGAATCACTGCAGTTGTTCAGTGCATGTAGTTGTTAAGCAAAATCAGCTTCTCCCGTTGATTTTGCGTGTGGAAAGCTGGTTGGGAAGATCACATGACCCTGGAATGATGCCATCATTGTAAATATATGCCAACTGCCAAGTGCTACAGTTGTAAAGATGGGGATTGGTGGCAAGTAATTTTTTTTCCAGTTCTGTTATAACTTTGAACTGTTGCTAAATGTTAGGTTGTATGTCAAGAACTACCTGTATGTAGCTCCATTTATAATTTTTAATGTAATCTAAAATGCAGTATTATACAAACATCTTTCATCTGTCCAGCAAATAGTTAAAGTTAGTTGAATTGTACTCTTGAAATGATGGACACTCACTACATCAGGTTAGATTGTCTGATGTAGTCCAAATGTTTTAGACCAACTCTAACCACTCACAATTAACGTAACCATGAAATTGTAAGAATATCTTACAACAGTAGCTACTTGCTTCAGTGAATAAAATATTTAAATACAGTGTTCAATATTCTGAAAATTCAGACTTCTTAGTTTTCTGACTACAGTCCTAGATGTGAAAGCTTGTGTTAATGCTTGGTGAAATTTCAGAGGACAGAGAAATGGATAATTGGAATTTTACTGGTCAATAGAAAGTGTAATCATAATAAGTAAATGTAATAATTCTAATAATCTTTGTTTCCATTAAAAATAAGCAGATATATCTCAATTATATGCAAGAGGGTTTTTTTTATATTCCTAATTTGTTCATGCATCTGATTTGTTTATTCCTTTATTGAATGGTACAAACGTGTTGAGTGCTAATTTTTGCATTTGCTATATCTGGAGACTTCATACCTAAGAGATAATTTTTGAATTCTTGTTTTAAAGAAGTAGCCAATGTGTGGAAGAAGAAAACGAATGGTAGCATGGCCTCTGCTGAACAAGTAGCAAGATATAGGGCCGTGGTGGCGAACCTAAGGCACGCGTGCCACAGGTGGCACACAGAGCCCTCTCTGTGGGCACGCATGCCATTGCCCCAGTCCTAGGCCTTCAGCTGGGTTTTATAAAACCTTTTCACTTTAGGCTGCCGCCGCCATGTATATATATAAAAAAAAGTTCAATCAATCAATTTCAACTTCTCGCAGGAAAAAAAAAGATCTCGCAAAGTTGGAATTGATTGAATGAACTTTTTAGTCCCACCCAGTCTGCCATTACCATCGTAGCCAGGCCCACCCAATTGGCCACGCCCACCCAATGAGCCACGCCTACCCAGCACCTGATAATACATAAGTGGGTTTTGGGTTGCAGTTTGGGCATTCGGTCTCTAAAAGTTTAGCCATCACTGATACAGGGTATCTCAATCTATCAAACAACATAACTTTAAAAAGTTTCTCATATACCCTGAAAGCTGTTTATTTCAGTTCCACACCCTGACCCCAAATTTTAATAGCTATGATACAGTTGATTGGAGAGACAGATTCTCTATTGCAATAAGATGGTAAAGTTGAGACATATATGATTGCAATTGGACCATTTTGGAAGGAAACAGTATATCTAAATGCATGTATAAGTGTATATATGATTGAGTACGTATGTTTGAATATATTGAGTATAACAACAAAAACAAGTGGAATATGTGTGAATGAAGTAGGTATGATTTTTTGGTGCATCTCTGGATTATATTAAGGGGCACTTTGCCACAGTGGATTATGGTCTTGTCCACATACCCCAAGTATGGTAGTGTCTCCAGGTTGGACATACTGCATATATCTACCAAGTTGATGGAATATAGGCAGATATCCTAACTTCCACAGAGTAGCGGGAGAATACCTGGTGATCCTGGTATTCTGACTAAAATGTATCAAAACAGACTGAGGGTATCTGATTAAAAGGCATTAAAAGGCACAAGTATGCCTAACGCTGGAAACCCAATCAATTCTTTCTTTTTTGTTATTAAAAATGTTATGAAAGTTTCAAGTGACCATATCTATGATAGGCAGCACAGGTCAGTATCTATGGTCTATTTGGTGATGAACATGAAATGTGGTAGATTGAAACTTGGAGTATGAAAAGAATACAGTGAGGGGGAGGGAGTGGAAGGAATAAAGAAAGAGGGAAAGAGGAAGAAGGAAGTTGGTTTGTTAGTTGGTCTAATCCTGTGAAAGATATATATAGAAATATGACCTGGATGACTGAGAATCTCCATAGAGATTGTGTTCATAAACATTAAAGCATCCTTGTGTATATCAACTTACCAAAAGGCAATACTCAAACTGATATGCCAGCCAAATGGAAACCAGGATGGTTTGCAACTATAGAAAGGTATGGAGAGATAGCCAATTGTGTTAGCAGAGCGAGATATATTGTTTTTATTCCACCTGTATTGTTTGTCGGCTTGCTGCTTCTTTTTACTCCTTTTTTTTGGTGTTTTGCATAACATTGTTTATTCAAAAGGGAATAAAGGGGCAGATATGGAGGCATGCTTGTGAGACTGATTGCTTCAATAATGTCTTTCTTTTTATTACCAGGACTCATTGAAGTTCCAGAATATCCATTTAATGAACAAAGAGAAACTTTTAGTTTTGTCTCTCTCCTGACACGGCCAGAGGTTATCATGGCTTTGTGCCAGGTGCGAGATGAGTGCAATAAAACCGCTGCAATGTCTCTTTTTCATTCCACCCTAACTAAGTATGGACGACTTGAAACGTTTGAACAGATTCAGACCCAGACCTTTTCCCAGGTAACATGGCAGATTTTTTGCAGGGGTCAGATACACAAATGTAAAGGACTGTGTGTTTCTGAAAGGATTGTAATACAATGGTAGAAGATTACTTAGGCCAGATAAGACCTGTGCTTACTGCTCTTCAAAATATAGAACTCCCTCTTTCACTTAGGCTACTAGTTGATAAAACTAGAAGAAATGCACAAACGTGTTTCTTTGATCATGGGGTGGGATAACAACATAACTATACATACTAATGGAAAAAATAGATCATCAAGTTAGCCATAATGATACCAAACTTATATCAGTAAGCTTGGAAGTCCTCCAAGATCTTTAGGCATTCAGCTTCCAGAACAGCTCACTGAGGACTAACTATGCTCAGCAACCAAGAAATGTTGGCTGCTTAATTTAGATTGAGGAGAAATAGCTAACCTAAGCACCAACCTACACACTGAATAAAATCAGCTCAATCTATAACATGGTTCAGAGAGCATATATTTTAGGTTAGAAGTCATGCTTCTATTATTATCATTATGTATAGCTTAACCACAGATATATTGGACATAGTTCAATTTAATGTGGGAAAAATCAGAAGAGCTTTGAATAAAAAACAGGTACTGTTGATTTCCAAACACTGTTTACTGTTTTCATTCCTGAATTCCAGAGTTTTATTCTGCAAACTGCAATAATATGGTTCAAGAATGAAAAGCTATGTATGCATGTTTCTACTTATTATAAACTGTTTACACAGAAGAACTTCCTAAACCTTCTTTTATCTATAATTTACCTCAAGATCAAAAGTAGCCCAGAAGTTTAAGAAGCACCCACTTAAAAGAAAAACAATAGGAAATGTGCAGGTCAAATATTTAGAGGCGATAATGTTAAAGCTGCTTTAGGTGGGAGAAAAATAGGCAAGATCACATAAAATATAATATCATCTGTTTATGGGCTTCTCAAAGGAAATAGTTGGATATTTAAAGAAAAGCTTCTGTGCTCCTATCTTAGGAAAACCAAGAGTTTTTGTTTGTTTTTGCTGTGCTTGAGAGTAAATGCTATACTCTTCTTAAAAAATAGATTATTTCAGTGTAACATTCTATGGGGAAAGATTTGTTTTGGCATAGATTGCTTTGGGAACTGTTGCTGCTATTAGCAGAATGTTATTAAAGTACAATAAAATTCTTCCTGTTTACAGAATAGTATTCTGTGGACCATAAAACATGTAATGTCTATAATGCCTTTTTTTTCTAGACAAAGCAGTCTCAGGGGAATGATTTAAAAGGGAATACGGAGGTGGGGAGAGAATCTAATAGATATACCTCTATTTTTTCCACTGCAAACTTCAGTCACTCCTCTCTTCCCCAAAAGGGATAGTAATAGAGGTATATACTAATGCAAACACAAAGCCAGAGAAGGGAAGGACTAACTATCCACTCCCCTTTGCTGCATTTCTTTAGGGTCGGCAAGTATCTATTGCTATATCCATTTAACATGTAATTTGAAGTTTGAAACTAAAACGAAGATTCTTTTATTCTTTTGTTTTGATTTCCTGCAGATTTCAATGTTCCTCAAGGATACATGGATCAATACTTTAAAAATAGCAGTGAGAAGCAGCCTGAGAGACATAGGCAAAGGCTGGTATAACTTATATGAGACAAAATGGGAGGTATATCAGATGTCCAAGCTTCACCAGTTGATGGAGCTTATCAAGTTTATGCTACAAGACTCTGTACGTTACCTGGTCCAGGATTCACTTGTAAACTTCACACAGCTCTTTCTGGATGCCTGCCACAGTGTCCTGGATTGCCCTGAAAATCTGATGTGGGGAGAGGATCTTGTTAATAGCCCATACAAGTAAGACAATTAGAAAATGTCTCTGATCTGAGGAATCAAAAGAACACTGAGCAATATTTTTGAAATGTATTCCATTTCGTATGAGTTGAGCCTTTAGATGTATTTTGTCTTTTCTAAGGTTCCTGATGAGCTAGTGCCACTGCAACCCAGCATGTCACATATCCATATGGATTTATATCATCCTAGGATGAGTTCTGGGTCTTTGTGATCTCATATTATTAACTCAGTTTGGCAGCTGAGCCATTTTATTGTTGGCTCAGCTAAGATATACTTGAAATTGCTGCAAACCTACCTTGTTCTTATTTTTTTTGAGATGCTCAATGGAGCATTTCACTTCACGTAACTTCTCAGCCTCTACAGCTTTCAAGGAAAAAAGTGGCAATGGCTTTTCAGCTTCTCAATCATCCCAAAGAAACAGCCCTATAAATGATAAGAACCTAAAGTAAGGATACAAAAGAGGGTGGCAAAGAATTTAATTTATTTCAATTTAATTTGAATTTAAGATTGCCTTATCCAGCAATTTCTCCTGCATTCCTTTGGCTCCTGGAATAATGCCTAGAAGGGAAATGCTGGTAAATGTGAAGGGTAGATAGCCCTTATTTTCTGTCTGAATTCCATGGGAATTGCGGATAACAAAACTTTAGTTTATTTTTAAAAATTTATTTTAATACTTTTAAAATAATAAAAGAAAAATAAAAAACTAAATGAACAAAACAGAAAGATACAAACATTATTTAAAAATCCACAAGTTATGTAAGAAGTGCTTAGAAATAAATGAAAAAAATACAACCAAAAATATTAAGTATTATGTCATTACAATATAAGTGAAGTTACAGTTTTATATATAGTACTCTAATGCAAACATGCAAGTATGTGTGTGTGTGCGTGTGTGTCTGTGTGCACGCGCATGTCTGATTCTCAGAGACTGAACACGTCCCCGCAGTTTTCTTTGCAAGGTTTTTCAGAAGTGGTTTTCCATTGCCTCTTTCCTTGGGGTTAGAGGAAGTGACTGTCCCCAAGATCATCCAGCTGGCTTTGTGCCACAGGTGGGACTAGAATTTATCTTCTCCTGTTTACACCAAACAGGTTCTGTTTCCCTCCCTCTCTCTCTCTCTCTCTCTCTCTCTGTTGTTTTTTGTATAGATGAGTCCTATATTTTATTATACTTATCCATACAAAGACTACATCTGTAGGTAATCCTTTCATAAGTGACAAGTGTAAATCAGATCTTCAAATCATTGAGTAAATAGGGCTATACATTTATCTTACCAGTGCTGTTATATTAGTTTTTTTAAAATCTAGTAAGGGCATGAAGAATCCATTTATATTGTCCAGTTGTCAAATACCATGTAATAGCCAGGCAATTCAAGAGAACTTTATCCTCTGAAAATTTTAGCTTTTGTTATACAGTCACATTCATAAAGTCCTCTGCTTTCTCCCAAAACTTAGTTAAGTATAGAATGCTTAACATACATTTTAAAGAAGCATTATCCTTATTACATCTTGAACAAAATGCTATTTTTGACAGTTTCTTTTCTGTACAAATATAGATTCTAAATATTTTTGGTGTATATGTCGTGATTGAGGTCTGTTGACATGCTTGCTATAGAAGTTCAGACACTCTCCAATTATCTAGGCAATAAAGGAGCCTCTAGTTCTTTATTCCACTCTTTTCTTAACATCTGCATATCAAATATATTGATAACAAATGTCTATAAAATAAAAACAACCAAAAATAAAAAACAACCAAAGGAATATATATGTATTCCAAAGTTGCCCAAATTGGAAAATTAACACAAATGGTTAGCTTCCAGTATTTAATACTTGACAAATAAGTAAACGTGATGATATAACTCCAGTTTTGGTAAACCAAACCCTTCCTTATTAATTGGTAATTGCATTTTTTGTGAAGATATTCTTGGAATCAAAGAACCCATAAACATTTTCTAAACAAGAAGTTTAGAACTATAAAAATATTTTTGAGATATTTGAACAGGAATTCATTTCATAATATAAATTAATTTGGGAAGACCTTGAGTTTATGGAAATTAGGAAAATAGGTTCTGGAATCCTAAAAAATAAATCAAAAGGGTTTTTTTTTCATAGATTGATAGGTATACAGTACACCAGACCATTGGGAGTAGGCAGACTGATGGGAAGATCAGTGGCAGATCTCTGGGACGATGGGAGGGTGAAGGCCTGATGCATTCTTTTAAACATGAAGATAGATTTATTTTATTTTTATTTTGTTTATTTTTATTTATATCACACTTCTATTATTTTTGCAATTAATTCAAGGTGGTGAATGTGTCCAACACAACTTCCTCCTCCTATTTTGTCCACAACAACAAACCTGTAAGATGAGTTGGGCTGAGAGTTATTGGCCCAAGGTCACCCAATTGGGTTTCATGACCAAGATGGGACTTGAACTCATGGTCTCCTGCTTTCTAGATCAAATCCATCTGCCCAAAATTAGAGATATGCACAATCCTTACCATGGACGACAAGATCAGACTTATATTTACTAACTTTGATTGCACAAAATTGTGCATAATGAACTTGAAATAAGGAGTGCCACCTGTTTTTACATAAGTGTTACCCTAGTTGTACCCAGTGGCTGCATTTTTTAAAATTGCCTGTTAGTATATATTATAGATAAGTTCCTTGCGATATTCATTAATATTTTTTATAAACTGGCAAATAGAATCAAAATAATACTCAGCCAGAATATTTTAACCATTTTAGAATACAGGATCATAGAACAGATGTCAACCAATGTAACAATACTCCTGTGAAACCATCTATTTTACTACAGTGATAATATTAGCTCCATTAAGCATTGTGTGAAAATGCCTTCTGGTAGATATGTAGGTTATGTATCGGCTCCTAGTTCTGTGGAATGCAAAAAAATAGAACTGGAATATGTTTTCAGCTCAGTGCATTTTAATTATCAAAGAGATGAGTTAATGCTTGAAGCTTTTTATTCATAACACAATGTGAAATTTCCATATTCTTCCTTTTGCAGGCCACGAAAAAATCCCCTGTTTATAATTGATTTGGCTTTAGACAACTATGGTGTCCATTTTAGCACACCTCTGGAGAATTTTGAGACATCAGTTGTTTCTCTTTTTAAGAAAGGGATCTTGGCTACACATAGCATACCACAACTGGAGAAAGTGAGTTTCTTTCAAGAATCTGAAATGTCTTCTCATCCTGATATGGGTTCCAGCTTATAAAATGTGCATAGTTATACCATTGCAGACTACATTGTTTATACTAAAAGTTACAGAATAGTCTGTATAGAGGCAATTGTACATATTCCAGGATAATGTTGCAGGATCCAATCTGGGTCGGTCACTGGGACCAGATGTTTAGTCTTCTGAATTTTCAGACTCGTCCTGGACCAGCCCATCCTCAGGGAATTTCTCATGAGACACTTTGCTAGAGAGAAGTCCCTGAGGATGGGCTCCAGAACAAGTCCCAAAAACTCTGAAGATTAAACCTCTGGTCCCAGTGACCCAGACTGAATCTTTATAGATTCTAAATATTTCTCCACCGGAAAATTATCTTGCCTTTTGTTCTGCAATGACCACATGCCAGTTTTACAAAGTTATCACCATTTTGTAAATAGATACTCCAAATATTTAAGGATGGGATACTGGAGATTTTCAGGCTAATATCTCTTTTTCAGAAACAATACTGTAATTTGTAATAATTGTAATAATTGAAAGCAATAGCCTAGTCATGGATCAGTCTTTTTCAACTGAGAAGCTGATGCAGTTCTTTGGTACACTGAAAGAAGATTGATTTTGATTTCATATCCTGATATTTGGGGGGGGGGGCGGGAGTCGAGGAGAGGAGTTGAGAAATGTCAGTTCAATTTGTGTTGTAAGTTTCATACAGCCACCATATACCGAGATAAAAAAAAACTCTAAAATTTTAAAGGGCAGAAGATAACGGAGGATTTTGCAGAAGGATTTAGCTAACACTTTTTAGCACTGACATATTGCCAGAGGACTCCACTAACACTTTTCTGATTGAGGAAAACATGTCAGATTTAAATGAGAAAGTGTTGGCAATAATGCTGTAATTTTAAATCCTTAAGCTATTAATGCTGACACTAGAGTAAAGGGAATATCTGAGATGTTTCATTATATATATTTATCTTGATGCTTTTTTTTATAAAGTGGTGTGCTGCAGATTTAAAAAGAAGGTTTTTTATTTCAAAATCCAAATCTTAGCACAATTGCTGATTTGGCTAGGGTAGGAGATCTTTTTACCATCAAAAATTTCTATCTTCTTTATTAAAAAGAGAAGAATACTTTCATTGTTTTTCACTGAATGCCAGCAAGCCATGCTAAAAGGATAGGTTAGCCAAAATATTTAATCTCCCAAAAGCTGGGGAATGAAGCTTGCTACTATGAACAGCTTGTAGAGATAAGCTGCAACACAATTAAGGCAACGTTTGGTGCAAATCACATTTAGCATGACTAGGAATTCAAACAGAGCTCCATACATAATAGTTAGATCTTTGAATTGTTTATAATAGACCAGTTCTGGTACTCATGTATGATAATCTTTATTATAGTAGTTATGAGAAAAAAGAATAGTTTCTATAAGATACTGAAGTCAAAAATAAAAGAGGAATCTTGTTACGGTGTGTAGTTATGGGTGACTTTTAATTTTATGTAACCACCTTTTTAGAAACAATAGAAGCAGACGATAATCCTGTTTATGCTAAATGACTCTTCTTTTATCTCTTTCTCAGTATGTGCTTGAAAACATGTTCATCTGTGGCACACCATTGTTAGAGTCTGTGGGTCTGAATGAGCCAGCTGTGATAGAATTGCGGAATACCATCTGTACTTGCATCCGCAAAGCACTGATCCCCCTTCAAGCTTATGCCAAGAATTATGAAAAGTACTTAGAACTGAATAATCGCGATATCCACAGCCTCTTAAAGT